ATGGGTTAAAATTTTTTTGCCAATTATAACACTGGATAGAAACCTATCGCATAAATCACTGTGAAAACCGGCCGCAGTTGTTAGCTTGCTTCCTTAATGAGCCGCGGCGAAATCATTGCTCCAGTTGAAATACCGATCTGGGATCAGAAACGAATTTTTCGGTAAATTCCAAAAATTGAACAATCCGTCCTTGAGAGAGAAGTTTTCCTTGTAGGACGGATTAGGAGGAGATTTCTCCATTCGAATACAGTAAGAAAAAGCGTACAATATGGCTGCTGAGACTTTTCTTAAAGTGAAAACTAATTCCTAAAACGAGTTCTGTGAAGTTCCGGGATCGAATTGCTTATTACTCTGGCAGACCATAAGCAACGTTCAAACTGTTAAAAGGGACAATGTAGAAGTATTTAAAGGATGTCAAGTGGCCGTCTCCCCAGAAGAGGAGAAATGCTTCGGCGATAGAGTACTTTAAAAAACTTCTTGACCTCAAGTAGGCGCATAAACGCTGCCTAAACAACAACGAGGAATATATATTGGTCTTTACCAGATGGATTCACAAAAGAAGAGAACAGTTTGCAACTTGGCAAGGCGGCTAAAATCGACGAAATCTGCTCTGAGGCGCTTGATGGTTTGGACGAACAAGATGCGTTATGGCAAGCACATGTCTGTCAAACTGCAATGACTACAGGAAACGCACAAGCAGACTGGAAAATGATTGTTAAAGTATCCCATTTGGAGAAGCCACATGAGTAATGGACTGCTAGAAGAACAGTAATCATGGGCAAATTGGTTCGAAGTACGCCTTGCAGCTCTCTGAAGATCAGTAAATCAGCGGACCCATTCATGTATATGCTGAACAAAATAGTCCCTAGCTGAAAAAGATCTTTGTACGGTTTCAAAACGACCTACTTTCCTTTAATGCTGATGAAGACATGACCTCACAAAGCCGTATTTCCTTGTGATAAATCAGGACTATTTTGCTGCTAGGTGCGAAAGGAATCATTTAATTAGGTTATTGTTCCCTGGCATTTTAACGCCTCTAAATCTGTTGGCGTTTATTTGCCAAACTACCTTATGCTTGAATACGAGTTTCGGTTTCGCTGTTTCTTCCTAGAAACAGTATGCATAATAGTCAGTCTAAGTTTAATAACCATTGACTTCAGTCGCAAGCTAACTTACTTCTGACGGCTGCTTCTGCAATATATGATTAGATGCTTTTGCTGTTTCTTCCTCTCAATCGACTGTAGCCTTCTTATTTATTGTAGTTGTCCAGATTTATAAGCAAAAGCAACTGCGTTGCTTTCAGCGGAAGTGTTCTTCAGTTGGCACAGAAGTAATATTGAGTAAACGACAAATTCTGTGTCCATTCATGCGAATAGCTATGACATTTTATTTTTTGGCGGTTTATTAGGCGCCATATTCCTTGCTTTGAATCTAGTGAAAATATTACGCCATCAAAATTTTATGTCACGCGGTTAACTTCCTTAAGAAATTCCAGTTTTAATGGGTCAGTTAATGAACAACATAAGACTGATTCTCAAAATCGTAAACAATTCTTGTCTAGGTCAGTAAATTTGTTTAAAACCGCGTTGCCTTGTGATATTGCTCAGTACGCGGTAAACACTGAGTACAACTGACTTCGTCATCGTAAACGTCTAACTGAAAGGTTGAAAATGTACGCCAGATTCTGTGGCACTTCGATCATCTTGCTGATTGCCGTTCTATGGGGCTCCAACTGTATCTCACTAAACGGTGGTGAGTGACTTTTCACATTCTAAGTCATTTAAATTGTTTAACTCCATCGGTCTGTTGTGTAGGTATTACATTATTTACTACTATATACAACAATAAAAGCAATTTTGCCCGTAACCAAGAAAGGAAGCCCTATAATTGAATGTTTAGCCTGCGACGTGAGAATTGCCATATTTCTACTGAAATAGGCTTGCCCTGTGAATATAACTGTTTATTCTCCCAGCTGGTAAGTTTTAATATAATTCATAGCGTTTGCAGCGTGTTTTACATGTAAACGTTAAAATTTTGTAATATGGAATTTCCATAATAAAACTGAAAAATAAGGTGACGTTGAAAATTTAATAAAAGCTGAGGCAAGCCGTGTTCAACTTAAGGAATGACCTCCTTCACTCACATGGCAAATACAATTTTCGCTGTTTAATATTTTGTTCGCCATAAATCTAAGAGTTTCCTGTTGTGTTTCCAGTTCGCTGGTGAGCAAGTCTGTTTACAAAATGTGGTTGGCTACTGCCACCAGTAATTGCAAGGTGCAGATCATGAGTCCTTTGCTCTTACCACACTGAACCCTGTTTCTCTTTAGAGTCATATATTCTATAAAGTACAATGTTCCTTAGTTTCATATTAAGTTCTGCATTGTGTGATGAAGAATAAGGATTAAATCAGGAGAGTGATCGACATGAGTATAAATATAATAGACCCATAAATTGATTAGTCGGTTGTGACAAACGCTTCTCCTATCAGATATCAGAGATGGTGTGTCACGCAGTGTCTCCAACGTTCCCGACCCTGTATCAGCGCTAAAGGTTTGGAAAAAATTAACCCGAGTCTGGAACAGAGAGCTTTGAGACACGTACCCCACGTCATTCTTGATTGTTCGTCCAGTTTTTGGACTGTTGTAAATGTAGTCGCTGCTTCGATTCTTTTCTGGATGCGTTCGTAGGACGCACCCAAACTATCGCAACTGTCAATTTTGATCCGGAGGAGATAGTGGAACCAAATCACTGCTACTGGAGCTAAAATACGGAAATCTTTCTTAGAACAATTGGAAGCATCTTTCCTTTTATCCCCATTGACAGTGCTACGCGTTTGCTTTAAGATCGCTATACGTTCAACAGTTCTGATGAGTGTGCTGATCTAAGTTCTCTATCTGGTAGAAGCAGAATATGAGTGAGTGCAGCTGCAGGGAATTTTAGTGGAGCCATCGGCATGAAGCAGGTTCAGTTGCCTTCCATTGATTTGAGGTACCATCGACCATGCATATTTAGCTCATCTGTTTTCACTAAGTCACTAACTTCTGTGTCAATACTTTGCTGCCTGATTATCCGATGGCGTCTTATGCGATTGTTCTTTTCTTCACTGCAGCAGCTTGAAGTAATACGGGTGACACTGACTGCGGCTTTCCAATAATTGGGCTTATTTCAGAAGTATACACACATGTAGACAAGCGCTTCGTTGTCAACAGTCAGTACACAGACAGGACCCCAGTGAGTCTGTAGCATATGGCGGATTCTTTTTGGTTGTGCGCAAGACGACCAACCATAAGCTAGGTGTA